CACAGAAGAAGAGAATGGAAGGCCTGTTACCTTCCTCTTGGATGCCTTTCCACAAGGAGGGCTCCGAGGTTGTCTTTGGCTGGGCCCTGCAGCATATTTGTAGGAAAAAACTATCAGCAATCACGGGAGGGTGGTACGCTCTGTGAGTGTCTCAGAGCCCTGGGCTCAGCTCGGCAGCAGGTGGACAGCGGGTTTGGTGCTCTTGAAATAACACATCGCAATCCTGCACGCAGTGACTGCAAGAACCTCCGTGCCTTTTCCTTTTTCAAACATAACTCAGGGTCCAGGAATGTAATCAGACCGCTCCACAGCAGCCTCGTACAAACGTTCCTGAGGGTTGTGATGTGCGAAGCACATGTTCGAGGAAGTATTTATTAGTAAGACTGTAGGTTAAATTAGGAAGGCTGGTTCCTACCTTAGATGGTCCATCATTTTCCATTCTGTTTATGCACCCAGGCCCCAGTGTGAAACTTCAATTTGTTTGTAATGTGCTTTCCTGACAGGTGATTTAGTCGGGTTAAATGGATTTTCTTTTGATTCCCCTGATGGTTATGTTTCACCATTGGGAGAAAATTGGAAAAGGCTTTTAAGTTATTCTTTCAACATTAGAGTTTAACATTCTGTGCAGACACTACAGAATTATTTTCCTGGTGGATTCAACAAGACCCTTCTCCCTGGAAACTAGGGTGTTTTACCTTCAAGACAATATAAAAAGTTTGGGAACTGATGCTCACAGCTCTACCTGTAAAGGTTACATCTAAAATGAAGGAGAATATGGGTGGCTTATGTCACAGGTTCTGTGATGAGCTGTGTGGCCCTTGTCTCTGATTTCAGCAAAGCTCCTACCAGAGCATTCCAAAATTAGAACTAGGGTTTAAGAACTGTAAACTCTGCAGATCTTAAAACCCATTACAGCCAAACTAAGACAGTAAAATACTAAAACTCTGAGATTATTTAATTATGAATCCTGCCACATACCATGTCACCATCCTTGGTTTACACTGGAATGTCTGTACATGTAATTCATTATACACATCTAAAGCATAATACATTTATTTCAAAAATCTAAAATCTGAGCCACGTGTGGTTTCACACGCCTGTGATCCCAACCCTCAGGAAGCGGAGGCAGGAGGATCCTTGCAAGTTCAAAACTACAAAGTGAGCTCAAGACCAGCCTGAACTGCATAGTGAGACCTTGTCTCAAAAAGACAAACTCTAAAATCTGTCTGTATTATCAAAACAAACAATAATACATGTATGCGTGTTGTTTGTAATGGGAAAATAACCCACACAGAAATAAACTCTCACTCAAAAGTGCTTTCAGTATATGTAGCATGTTCCCTAACAGCTCCTCTTAAACCCACAGCAGTATCTCAGTTCACCAGCTCAATTCTTTCCACAATTCAGGTCGCAAACTGAATTGGATGAAAACTGAGCCAACTTCAGTAGTTAGGGTCAGTGTTGACCTTACGGGGAATCTGATTAGTCATGATACAAACTTGGAGTTTTAGAAATAATTACATCATGTAAAAAAAAAAAAAAAAAAACTAATCTCAATATGTTTTCCTGTCACGCGGGTACTTAAAACTCTGGAACGCAATGTTGGCCTTCAGTGAAACCAAAAAGCCCAGAGCCGTGAAAGCCGCTGGCGTAAATTAAAGGACCGAAGCCAGCTGGGTTTGCAGCCAGCAAAGCTGCGGCTCACTTCCCAAAAGGGGCACAGGGACACCGTGGCAGTGAGCCTCGCTCCTGGCATTTTCTCTGCATTTGAAATCCTGGCTGGAGCCATGGTTTATCTTTAAACACCCATGCTCCAGCAAGTCTGGGCGAAGTGCTCCCCCTTATAACTCTCTCTGCTTTCTTTATTATCTTGTAAATTTCCTTTACGAGGGACAAAGTCAGCTGTGGACATTTGGGCATGAGGGTATAGAGATGTCCGTGATGAGAGTGTGTCAAGATGTCACGGCTTAAGGTTGGTTGCTGGGTTTAACTCACCGGCTTTGCGAGTCATGTCACATCACGCGTGCCTTGAGCCTCTGTCCCCTTCTTTCTAACACGGCGAGCATCTGTTCTGTTGTGGAGATTTAAAAGAATGTTTGCAAACCTTTTACCACCATTGAGCCTCCTAGGAGGCTCTCAGCGAAGGTTCTGCTTGTTGGTGCTGGTGTGAGTCTGCCATGACTCACCGTATTACAGGCACGGTAATAGGCTCCCTGCATAACTTCATCACCAGATCACAGAAGACCTGCAGGGTAAATATAATTGCCCCTACTTTGTAAATCAAGGGTCTGAATATCAGAAAGGGGGCCCAGAAGCGAGCTTTTAAGAGGCAGGAAAACAATTAAAACCCAGCTGTCCACCCTTATGTTCTCCCTCTGAAAATCCTGTTTGATATGGTACTACACACACATAATCTTCACAATGCTGAAATTAATTATAAGTAAACTAAGGAAAACAGTCTGGGCTCTTAGCTCCATAAGCACTGAGATACTAATTTCGATAACCGTATGTGGCTGGTAGCTATGGAACCGGACACCACATTTCCCTCACTTCAGAAAGGCATATTGGACATCACGGAGCCTGGTTTAGCCTCAATAGAAAATGATCGTTTTTCTTTAAAACCTAATGGTGCCAGGGATGGTGGCACACGCCTTGGTCCCAGAATTTGGGATTACAGGCACCTAGGCAAGAGGATGGCCAGGAGTCCAAGGCCAGCCTGGACTACACAATGGGTTCAAGGCCAATCAGAACCACAGAGCAAAACCCTGTCTCGAAGAAAACAAAAATGAACAAACAACACCAACAACAAAACCTAATGGTGGTGAAAATTCCTAAAGCCAGTAAGAAAACCCCAAATAATTCTCCAGCATTTCATCTACCTATAATATCCGGTGCTTCCCTGATTCAGCCACAAGGTCAATCAACTAAAAATTGCTTTTATTCTTTCCTTTAAAGCTGTGGCTATTATCCACCTAGAAGTAACCTTGAAAGGATGGGATGGTGACTTGTTATTTATGGCCTTCATCTTACCCAGGAAACTCTTAACTAGAAATGAAGTGGCCTTTCTCGCCAGGCAGACAGCAGGTAGTGCCCACAGTGTTTTATCACCAGGTTTGCAGGTCTTTTTGATCCGCATGGGTTGTTACAGGCTGGGACTTAAACTGCATTGCACTAACGGCCGGGCAAGGCAGACCAACACATGGTAGTCCCAGTGGAGCCGCGCAGAACACCCGCTCCTTCCTTGGAGACCAACTCTGATTTTAGGAGAAGGAAGATGGCAGGCCAGAGGAAGGAGACCTGGGAGAGTGAAAGAAGAGTCGAACATCACAGAAACATTGCCATGAGTGAGCAGAAGACCCAGGACCTCGACAGGACCCTGTACCTACTCCGACGCTGCCACGTGTGATGTGCGTGTTCACCACCAGCTTCCCTGCCCACTTCTCCCGCAGAGCGTGGGCTCCTTCTGACCTGCCACTGAGCCATAGTGTCTCTTGCCTGAGTAAAATACCAGGCTTATTGAAAAGATAAACCAACAAGCCGGGTGTGGTGGCAAGTGTCTGTAACCCCAGCACTTGGGAGGCTGAGGCAGGAGGATTGCTGTGAGTTCAAGGCCAGCCTGAACCATACAGTGAAATTTTGCATCAAAAAAAAAAAAGGTCACCAAATGATTATTGAGTAATACACTCAATACCACCCTCCTCTTTCCCCCAATGAAAATTGTAATTGTTCTCCTGAAATTGTCATGTCTCGTTATCTGTTATGGCTGCCACCAACTGCTCGGATCTGACCTGCTCTCTTGCCCAGGGTGACTTGGTTGCTCTCCTAGCTGGCCTTCCAGGGAAAAAACAGTTCTCGGGAGGCATAGGAACCAGTGACGGGATATCAGTTTAACTGCCTGAGGTGAAACCATGAGACACTGTACTACAGAATTCATTCAGTGCTGAAGCACATTCACCCGATCTGAGAATCAGCTCCACTGTAATGCAGTCCTTGAAAATTCTGGCTCATTTTGCAGGCTATGACGTGTAATAACCTGGAAATTCTGTCAATACAGGCATGAAAAGCCTAATTAGAGCTTCCTAAATATCTCCACATATTCACTACCGCAAATGTCTTCATGCAGCTAGCTGGGAGGGGTGGAGGTCTTTGTACTCGTGTATTTGTTCACTACTATAGCTACTAGTGACTCCTGAAACGCATTCTTACTGCTGTAAAAAGAACTATGGAGACACCAAAAAAGAAATGATTTCCAGTCTGCAGCTGCTATGAGAGGCACTTATCCCTCCTGATCCTTAAGCGAGGGCTTTGGACTGCTTTCCATGACATGCATATTCCCCAGGTAGAAATGGAGAGCCTGGTTCAGAGCAATGCCAAGGACAGACAGTTCCATAACACTCAAAAAGCTTTGACTTTCTGAGGGAATTTCCTTCCCAAGAAATGAAGAAAGCAAATGGCCTAGCTAGAGTCTGGTCTTCCCTGAACGCAGTTGCTGAAATCTCAGTTGCTTCTCTCAGCGAACTTCTCTCTCTTTTGTGGGAAACCTTGCTTTGCAAGACAATTTTTTAAATTTGCTTTCCTTTCTCTTTTCTCACCTGGAAGTTTATACGAGCATTTAATGATCAGGAAGGAGGATGCCAAGGAAAGACACCTGAGCTCATCTCTGTCAGCACGGCCACCAAAGCCAGAGGCACCCAGGGGCAGCATCTTCTCTGCTCCCCACACCAGCTCTCGGTGACCCAGAGGATGACCTGATCCCCAGAGGTCGCATCTCATTGCATGACATAAGAGCGAGAAGCCACTGTAGCTGCCTCCCCCTCCCCCTAAATGGGTAGGAGGACACCTGTAGGCAGGAGGACAAAGCCCTGGTGACAGGCGTTCCTGGCGTCAGGAAATCCTTGGTAAACCCCATGCCAGCTCTAGTGAACTACTGCAGCACCTCCTTGAAGGTTTTGTAAAAACATCATAACACCCTCTGTTTCTTTATTGTTCTTAATTTGTAGAATGTCAGAACTGGGGCTCAGAGCTCCAGCTACCAACTCTGGATTTTGAAGATGTTTTAAAAAATGACGAAGATGCATACAAGTGGCTTTCCACCCTCAAGAAGGTAGGCATCGTCCGACTCACCGGTGCAGCTGACAGACGAGGAGAAATTGTGAAACTTGGGAAAAGGATTGGCTTCCTCTATCTCACATTTTATGGGTGAGTCACCACATGGTTTGTACCCTGCCATCACAAATAGAGTTCGGTATCTTCCCAGAAGGGTGTTCCTTTGCGTGAAGTTAGGGAATGGCCCATAAAGTCTTAAGCTGGAAGTCTCAGGGAAACAACAATCTAAAAGTAATATTTCAGTAACCAATTATCTTTATAGATTATTGGACTGTACAGGGTTTAAATTGCGAAGTTCTAACTCAGCTTCTCCAGCTTCAACTGACCACCCAGCCCATGCAGCAACTAAACAAAAAGGAGGAATATGTTGGGAGCCATTGAAATTGGAAATAGAACACATGTGCAGGGCCACTGCATGGCCGGGTTATGGCTGACCCGAGAACAAAGAGACGCCTCAAAGGGCAAGATCAGGTCACAGCTGAGGACACCTGACCCCAACTCCAGTTAACTAAGACTGTACCGGGGATATTTCACTCCCGTAGTGAAATGCAGCGTGGAGATCTTCTCCTGAGATACTTCTCCAAAGTTAACATCAGATAGTTCTCCTAACATAAACATAATCTGTTACTTGGAGAAGTCCTTGAACCACTCCCAAGGTCCATTCAGTTTTCTGTGTTGTTTGAAAAAATAAATAAATAAATAAATAAATAAATAAATACAGGCTGCCCTGAGGTATCCCCTGTCATAGCCACCAGAGTCAAGAATTCTGCAGAGGGTTTTGGCCTCCTGGAGCCCTAAAATCATAAAATGAATAAATAAAAGTACTATTTCTCTGAGAATGACTAAAATTTCCAGTGTAACAGCTGCATCAGGCTAATTGTAGGCGATGTATTAGTATCTTCACGCTGCTATCCCAATATGTCACAAACTGCATGACTTAAACAGAAGAAACTTATTTTCTCATAGTTCTGCAGACTGGAAGCCCATGTCAAGGTGTGCAGGGTTAGTTTCTGGAGAGCTCTCTTTTCCTGGCCTGCTGACCTGTGCCTTCTTTCTCTTTCTCCACTTGGCCTTTGCCTGCATGGCACACTCCTGCTGACTGTCCTCTTACAAGACACCAGCCCCATGGCATCCACATCCCGTCCTCACAACCTCGTTTGTCTTAACCACATCTTCCCAGGCCTCATCTCCAAGTGCACTGGGAATTAGGGTTCAGACAGAGGCATTTCAGAGAACGTTATTCAGTCCATAATGGGTAGGGTGGAGAGACGGTGTTTCTCCAAGACTTTTAAAAAATATCCAACTTCATAAATGGTAGAGTGCATTACAGTTTTACCTCTCAAGACTTAGCACAAAATAACATTAGGTCCTGGAAAATTGAAACCAGCCACCAGATGTGTTAAAAAGATTAAACCAGCTGGGCACAGTGGCACACATTTGTAATACAAACCCTCAGCAGGCAAAGGCAAGATTGCCATGCGTTTTAGGCCAGCCTGTGAGACTCTGTCTCAAAAATAATTTTTTAAAAGACATTTAAACTAATATGCAGAAAATTGAGGCTATATGCTGCAGGATATTACATGAAATAGAATTAATCTTAACTTCCAAACAAGAACCTGTTTTCACAAGAATTTCTGAAGAAGAAACAATAGTTACGGTAGTGAAATGCTACTGGGATATATCTGGAAGTGAAGGGAGAGGTCCACTTCTGATCATTATGATGAGTTCCTCACACAGCATGTGTGTACGTACGCTTGGGCTCATAGAGAGCGCTGGGCATGAAAAGAAATGGGGACTCAAGGAATTAATTTGTAACCCAAGCACTCACAATTCAAAGTACAAATCCAGTTTTCTTGTCAATCTTTCTGTTCTACTACTAATAAGATGAAGAAAGTACCCAGAAAAGATGCTTTCAGGCGCTGGAATTAAACAGAACCCTCTCAAATAAATTTATTCTGAGTTGTTTTACTTAGCTTTTATTTGCTAATGACAAACTTTTTGCATCTATTCCAATGTATTTCGCAATTTCCTAATGCTGACCAAACTGGGGTGGGGGGGAGGTTCTTTTTGGAGTTCCTTGGCTCCACCCATCCCACACATCCACTCCACGGAGGGTCAGAACTTTCATCCTGATTTATGATTTTATTTGTTTTGTTTTGTTTTGTTTTGTTTTGTTTCTACAGATCCTTAAAATGGGCTAATAACTTGGCCACTGACCTACTGTTGTGAAACATATTGGAAACAATACTAAGGGCTGTCGTCAAAATAAATCAGACTTCCTACTCACTGCACAACCTTCCCATCCAGGCCCATCTGCCTCACCTTCCCTACGTGGTCACCCCATCTTCCCAGAATCTCTCAAGCTGTACACATGCTGGGAAACGCTTTTCCTGCCACGTTATGCCTGCTTCCACTACTGACATCCCAAATCTCTCCTTTAGGGACAATCTTTAATTTTCTACCTTAAGACCTTACAGAGAACAGTTTTGTTGATATAGCTGTCACTGGGGTCTTAATGCTGAGAGAATAAAATAAGTGAACATTTCCTCAGAGGCATGGCTCTGCTCTGCTCCTCTGCTTCACAGCCCTATCATCAAGCAACGTGAAGTGCAGGTGATGTGGACTTAAAGCGATGCTAAGGGGCAGCCTCATGCCCCTTAGTGTTCTCAGAGTCACCTGAGATGGTGGCTCTCAGCCTCAGCTGCATCCTGGAAGAGCTCATTTTTGAGGTCACCGACATTTGTGCCCATCTGCAGCGAATTTCCCTAGCAGGACAGGTATTGGACCTGAGACAAAACCCCTGACACCCAAAATGAGGGAAGGAAAGGTTTATTTAACTTACAGTTTGTGGAAGTTTCAGTTCGTGCTCAGCTGGCTCCAAGGCAGGGCAGCACGGCTCCAAGGCAACTCTTCGAGCTCAGCAGGCAACTCCCTGTGCAGCTGCAGCTGGGAAACATTGGCTGGGAAGCAGGGCTGTTTCGAGGCAGGCAGGTCACAAATGCAAGAGAAACCAGTGTTTCATGTGCCGTGGCACTGATACTGCATATGTACAGGCATTTCTCGTGCTCTTCTGTGGTCTTTACATCTGCACATCAATTGTCTCCTTAACAGAATCAGTAGCTGCTTTAAACAAGGTCCTCATCTTTCGGATCTTTGAGTTTACATTTCATGAAATGTCTCACTGTTGCCCAAAAATGCCTGGTTGGTGAGTGACGGAGTGAAACGAATAAATTAAGCTAATAGGTAAACAGAGCTGGGGACTGGTCAAAAACTGGTCAAAAACAGGGAAAGGGAAGTGTGGGCAAGCTGAAGGTAAACCTGCATTGTATGCAGATTTATCCAGGAATAAATAAATAATACAAGCAGGTTATCGGTGCCACTTTGACATGCCTGCTCTGGAATGGAAATCCCCAAATGCTTTCCTGTTTGGGTTCTTACTTGCTTGGGGTATTTTAAATGCCTGGGACTGAAATGAGAAATGAGGATCCATTAGATGCTTTTAGCCCTTGGCTGTGATCTCAGTTGTTAAGTGGTTGACTGGAAGAATAAAAGGCAATATAGTCCAGAATTTTATGTCATTGTCATGCATAGTAGGCAAGGAATAAGTGCCTGATGAATAACTCATGCCGAGATGTTTTAAAGGTCTATGAAACAGCAGATGGGTGCTGTGATGATTGCAGCCTTTTGCAATTATGAACTTATGTTCAGCTGACTCAGAGTAGTCACTGATGTAGGACAACCGTACACAGTACTTCACACACCTGTGTCTCTGGGCGCTTGTCACTGTCTTGTCAGAGCATCAGTCAGACAACAGCTTTCCGTGTGTAGCCCTGTCAGATACTCAGTAACCATGAGGCCTTGGTGATAGAAGCTTCCTGGAATAGAAGAATAGAAGCTGGTCTCAAAGACTCCTTCTGTTGATTGTGCCAAATGTATAGAGGTATGTGGAGCATTAAGTCTTGGCGGCTTTTTTCTCTTTGCTGGGACAAAACCCTTGACACCCAAAATGAGGGAAGGAAAGTTTTATTTAGCTTACAGTTTGTGGAAGTTTCAGTCCATGCTCAGCTGGCTCCAAGGCAATTCTTCAAGGCAGCTGCCAAAAAAAGTGGCCAGAACAAAAGGTAGGAGAAAACAAGTGTCTTCTCCTCCCTTGTGTTGTACATGGGCCACCATTCCCCCACCCAGGGCAGTAGTAGCACTCACAAAATCTCTGTGACATCCTCTTGCTCAGGCTGAGGATATTTACAAAGTAAGGATGCAGGCTCCCTCCTGAGTCTCTTAAACTTCTCAAATTGACACAAGTATCAACCATAAAACATGAAAAAGATAACATTTTAGGAGGATTTAAACCTTTGCTTTCCAAAGCCAAAAAGCTTCATCCCATCAATCATGATGATGATGATGATGATAGTAACTTTCTGGACTGCTTCTGGGAAAAGTGACATCACTGAAGAAATCATCTGGATTTTATGGCATGGTTAAACTCCATGGGAAATGGTCACTGTAGACTTTATTTGTCCCTGTGCTGTCATCCCAGTAGTTATGAAAGGTCAGAATGTTTTCAAGGATGTATCCTCCAGAGCTAATCCCAATGAAACTACAAACACTGTTAGACAAACAGAGCATCTTCCTGGGATGATTCCTTGGTCTCAGACTAGAATTGAATGTCTATCTACTTCATTCAAAATTATTTTGAGTGATTGCTGTTTGTGGCTGGATGTACATATTTTAGTTGACTTCCCCTAAATAATTCAGAATGATAAAAGTTTGATAAGATGCAGGAGGAGACTGAACGTAACCCCAGACTTTGAACATTACAAGTAAGGTCGTGTAAGCAATAGTGCTCATTGACAGCAGCTCACAGGGGACAGATGAGCTCTCCCAAAATGGTGCAAAACGCAGTCAGAATGGGGCAATGTTGAATAACAGTATAGCTTTTAGAGACAATAACAGCTGACCCATCAAAATGTATCCATGATACTATGGTACCTGTGGGTAAACCATTGAGAAATGTATTACTACAACCCATGTGGCTCTTGAGGTTCTTGGGGTGAAGGGCCATGAGAGGATGACAAAATAAGGAAGAGACAAAT